AGACATGAGACTGTATGGGCCGGCGGAATGAGCAAAGCGATTAAATATGGAAAAATATGGGAAGTGGGGGGAAGACAAGAAAACCCGAAATATAGGAAAATCTGGGGGATCCAGTTATTTGTGCGTATTTATCTGTGTGTCCCAGGGCCCCTTGAGAGAAGCGGTGAGCGAGCGGGCACTGGGCTGTCGGGGGACAATGGGGACAGCGGGCGAGGGCGGGGGCGGGGTCCTGCGGGGGAAGGGGCGCGGGGGATTGGGGGGAGAGGCGTGGGGGATTGCGACGAGAAGAGATGAGCAGGGAGGAGAGAGGAGGCGAAGGGAGGAGGCGAAGGGGGGGTGGTCAACGCAGCCCCCCCCCCCTTCCCCGCATATTCATTGTTACCCCCCTTCGGCGAAGTCGCCCCACGGGTCGCGGAGGCGCTCGGGAGGGGCCCAGGGGTATCGCAAACCGACGGGCAGGCCGTCCCACAATTCAGGAGGGAAAAAGACACAAACACAATGAACCGTCGGTTCCCATGAGATATGGGAAAATATGGACACTGTGGGGGAAGACGAAGAATTAGAAAACATGTAAAGATATGGGGGATCTTGGGATTTGTGTCTATTTTTGTTGTGTGTGTGTGTGTGTCTGTGTGTGTGTGTGTATAAGTGTGTGTGTGTGTGTGTGTGTGTGTGTGTGTGTGTGTGTGTGTGTGTGTGTGTGTGTGTGTGTGTGTGTGTGTGTGTGTGTGTGTGTGTGTGTCTGGGCCCCTTCACAAATGGCCGCCAAATGGGGGACGAGGCGCGGAACGAGAAGGCCGCACGTTCACAAGATGGGCTGGTACCCCCCCAGAGCTGGGTCGGGCGCCCTCCCGCTTCGGCAACGGGCCTCTGCGGGCGACACCCAGCGCCCACCCCAGGATCGCTTGGGGCCTTCGGCCTGCAGCGTGGCGATCTGGACTGTTACGGCGGAAGAAGGCCGACGGCGACGGCGAGGGGGAGGGACGGGCGGAGAAGGAGGAGGTGCAGGAGGGGAAAAAACACACAGACACAATCAATCGTCGATCCCCCAGAAAATATGGGAAAATATGGGAAGTGGGGGGGAAGACAAAAGCACAGAAAATATGGAACAAATATGGGGAATCCTTTTATTTGTGTGTATGTATTTGTGTGTCTCAGTGCCCCTTCAAGGAGGTGCAGGAGGGAGAGGAAGGAAGAGAAAGAGAGAGAGAGAGAGAGCGAGGGAGCGCAAGGGAGACAGACTCACACGCACGAGTGGCGCAGCAGAGAGGAGCTGGCGACGACTGCCCTGCGGTGCGGCCCGGGCGCGCTGGGGGCGCGGAGCCGCCGGGGGAGGGGGCTCCGCGAGCCCAGGGAGAGCAGAATCTTCCCCCATCAACAGAAATCAGGCGATCGCAAACATGGATTCAGGGGGGGGATTAGCGACGGGTTCCGTTTCCGTGGGAAATCGCGGAGTTCCGCCGCCGAGCGAGGCGGCACCGGCCGCCTTTTGGGGAGGGCACCTCCCCCGATCCATGGATTTGGCGACCGCGCGCCAAATCCATGGATCGCTAATCCATGTTTGTGCGCCCCCGAAGAAAGGGAGACCCAGGACCCTGACCCCCCCTGGTGTCGTGGACAAGCAAGCTCGACTGCTGAGCCAGTGGCAGATGGAGAGAAGGCCCATGCCAGCATTCTGGGGGATGCCAGCCCACCCCGAGGACGAAACTCGTGGCATGTTCGTTGCCTTTCGTGCGCGGCCGTGCAGTGCGGGGCGTGAGGTAAAGCACAGTGCGGCACAGTACCAGCCCGCCACCTTGGTGGGTCGAGAGCCACGGTTCGCAACGACTCCCACTGTGGGGCAGGGCTAGGACGAGGATAACAACGTTTCAGAGCGTTCCGGAACGCTCTTAGAGCGTTCTGCAACGCTCTGCCGTGACATCCTGCAGAACCGCCATATCTCAGAGATTCTCGATTCACCTTCACCTGAATGTATTCTCGTCCTGGCCTCGGCTTAGGGTCGACTCCACCTATGAGTGCCCCTTCGCAATGCGTTTTCTTCTTGCCCCTCCTCCTCCTCCTCCTCCTCCTCCTCCTTTTCCTGCTCCTGCGACCAGAGGCCCGGCGTCTGAAGGCGTCTCTCGGCTGGTCGGCAGAGCAGGGCGCGGCGATCCCGAGGGGCCCGGGGGCACGGAAGCTGCCGCCGGCTGCCCCCCACTTGCCTCCCCCAGACGAGCTGCACGCTCTCGTCGGCGTGCATTTGGCGCGTCGGGGGGGCGCTGTGCATTCTCAGCTCCCTCATGGAAGCGGCTGAACCTGATCTGGTCGTCGAGTTGCGAACACTGTTGCCCTCAGTGACCCCAGGCGCCGTGCTGCTTGTTCCCTGCGGCTCATGGCTGGATTGGGACGTGCGGAGTTGTGCCTGCGCGGCTTTGAGCCGCTCGGCAGGTGGGACTTCCTGCCCCCTGCTCTTCTTCGCCTCTCTCAGTGCTCCCCCTCTGTCCGTAGGGGCGGCCCGGGCCACTGATCCCCGATCGCCGTTTCTCTGGAAGGGGCAGTGTCCGCCACTTCCCTTCGCGGTGGATGGGACGCAGTTGGGGTCACCTTGGAGAGACATTTAGTGCGGGCTCATCGGGGTCTCCCGATCGCTGAATGCGGTGCGACAGCAACACCTGCGCGCTTGGGCTTGGCCCCCCCGCGCCCCCACAAAAAGCCTCGCATCGAAGGTTACTCCTGCCCAGGGCCACTCCTGCAGTGGGAACCCGTGCCAAGGAACACCCTGCTTGCCTCCAGGGTGCCCTGGCCTTCTTCGGCGTCGATGGCTTCGTCATGGGAAGCGTGACGTTCCCACACCAAAACTAATGGTCCATGGACGTCCTGGGGTCTCAGGACTTCTTCTTGTGGAAGGTTCTTGTTGTTCGAGCTCCTGCTGCAGGTGCAGCCGAGGGGGGCAGGGCAGCGATGCGATGGGGAACTACCGCAGGGCCGGCGCGCCCAGCCGACCGCGGAGCATCCATCCCTGGCCAATGGCAGGCCATCGGCGGCCAAGGCAAGGCCTGCCATCGGCAGGGGGGGGAGGAGAAGGAGCGGGCCCCCCTCCCAGACAGAGTGTCGGAGAACAGGAACCACGGGGGTCGAACACCTGCGGGCGACAATCTGTCAACACTTGCATCGGTTTAGTCTCAGGCGATCGTTGCGCGCTGCGTTCGCGCACGCAGCTGTTCCCCCTTCCGCGCACCCGTCCCCTCCTCCTCCTCCTCCCCCTCCTCCTCCTCCTCCTCCTCCTCCTCCTCCTCCTCCTCCTCCTCCCTCCTCCCCCTCCTCCTCTCCTCCTTCTCCTCCTCCTCCTCCTCCTCCTCCTCCTCCCCTCCTCCTCCTCCTCCTCCTCCTCCTCCTCCTCCTCCTCCTCCTCCTCCTCCCCCTCCCCCTCCTCCTCCTCCTCCTCCTCCTCCTCCTCCTCCTCGCACCCGACTGACCCCTGGGAGCTCCGCGTCAAAACTGTCCACGCGGGAGCGGGGAGGAGGGGGCCGCGGGCCTCGGGAGAGGTCCCGTGCGCGAGGCGGCGGCCCGTCGCCGCGCGGCGGAGCCCGAGAGCCTGCCCGACGGGCCCCGGGGCGCCGTGTGCCCGTGCGCGCCGCCGCGCTGCCCGTCGCCCCTCTCGCGACCGGGGCTCCCAGGCCTCACCAACACCTCCTCCTTCTCCTCCTCCTCCTCCTCCTCCTCCTCCTCCTCCTCCTCCTCCTCCTCCTCCTCCTCTCTCCACTCCTCTCGCGACCTGGGCTCCCAGGCCTCACCATCACCTCAGTTTCATGGCGAAGAGCTATGCACATGCACCAGTTCCTGGTAAGGAAGGCCCATCCTTGACCCAGGATCGGTGCATGTGTTTCCTGGCCACTGTAGGATGGCGTATGCACCGATCCTGGGCTCAGGATGGGCATGGCCAGAATCGGTGTAATTATGTGCATAGTTCTCTATCCTCCAAGTACCAAGCAGTGGCGAAGCGTCCTGGCGTGCCCGTGGGCCTACCAAACACTGTTCTGAGAACCTTCCGTGGTTTTCCACGCAATGGTCTTAGAACATTTCTGGCCGGGACTGTCTTGTTTTAGCACATCGGGTCTATGTTCTGAGAACATTGCTTTTGTTATTAAAACATTTGTGGGTTCTAAGAACATTTGGTGGTAGGCCTACAGGAATGCCGGGACGGTCTGTCCCTGCTCAACAGTAGGCATATCTAATGGGGTGGCCTAGGAGGAGGAGGAGGAGGAGGAGGAGGAAGAGGAGGAGGAAGAGGAGGAGGAGGAAGAGGAAAAGGCGGAGGAGGAGGACAAGGCGGAGGAGCGGAAGGGAGTGGGGGAGAGGGACGAGGAGAGAGGCGAGAGGATGAAGTCTCCTTGCCTCAGTGAGGAAGTTGGCAGCCCCGTGCGACCTGGGAGGAGAAGCCGGTTCCCGGAGGGAGGTCCAGACTTCGGGAGGTTCATGCACCTTATCTTTCAGCGGCATCGCCATAGGTGCTCACCCACGGACAATTTGGAAGCCAGTCTAGGCCCTCAATCGGGCATTGCAGCGCTGCCCGCATCGGGTAGGGTTGGGCTCGCTGGATCGCTGCCCAAAGTGGCCGTCAGTATAGGATGCCACGCTTGTAGATGCGCGTGGTCGTCTGATGTCCAGAATTGTCCTGTTGACTTCTCTTAATCAGGCTGAATCCTGGGCTGGATTCGTTTTGATATGGCTCAGTGGCTTCATCATAGTGGCCTTCGATCTCACGAAGAATTTCCAAGAGCAGTCTCCTCACCCAGACTCCGAACGTCACGTTTTTTCGTAACGTCGACCCTGGAGATCTCGACCCCTTCCCCTGGGCCAGCTTCTCACCCCGAGTCGTGTTTTTGACAGTCCCGAGGCCTGGTAAGGTCCCCCGGAGGCCGAACATATCGGACAAAGCGTCAGTCGTATTTCTCTGGGTGGTCTTGGCAGTCGGTGGAGTACCGTCGGGGGAGCGCTGGGTCTGCCCCTCGCCGGCGGAGGCCTGGATCGAGCTCCTGGAGAAGGCCCCGCCCGCTGCGGAGGACCTCCTGGAGGCGGTCACGGTGATGCCCCGGGAGGATCCGCACGCCGGGCACCACACAGGCGTTCTCGGGAGCAGGATCGAGGATCGAATTTTTGGGCCTCGGCTTTCGGGCCTCGGCTTTCAATCGGTTTGCCCCTCCGCCCTCAATCCTCGAAGCTCATGTAAGTTGTTGTCCAACCAATTTGCGCGTCGTTAAAGACGGGAACCGCATTTTGAAAACCACCCGCCCTCAATCCGCGAAACTGTTGCACTCTGTTTAAACCGAATGCGCGCGGCACTATGGCGAGAGCCACATTTTGAAAACGGCCCGCCTTCCATCTGTGAAGCAGTTGCCAATGTTAAAGTTCACGGTCACATATGGTGAGGACGTTTCAGGCGAAATGCCTGGCCCGCCGTGAAACTTGGCCTCGGGGTGCGACAGGGAGAAGTGATGTATAAACATAAGGAATGGAGGAGGACGACGACGACGAGGAGGAGGGCGAGGAGGAGGAGGAGGAGGATGGAGGAGGGTGGTGAATTCGCCCATGAGGAGGAGCAGGCGGAGGAGGAGAGAGAGGAGGAGACGGAAGAGGAAGAGGAGGAGGTGGGCGAACAAACGGATTAGATGCGAGGGAGCATGAGGAGTAAGCGGATGAGGGGGAGGAGAAGGAGGAGGAGAAAAAGGGGGAGGAGGAGGAAGATATGGGGGACATCGGATCAGAGCCAGTCAGCATCGTTGACACAGTTGGTTGCCTACACCCCCCTGTGGGGGTGGCCCACAGTAGAACTCTGTTTAAGGGTCTTCTGTTTGCCCTTCTTACAGAAGGTGTTGGCAACACCCTGTCCCGCCAAGAACTCCCTCCCTTCGGCGCGTGGTGGGGTCGGCCACTGTCTTCCTGGCTTGGGGGGGGGGGCCCTTCTCAATCCGGTTCAAGAAATTGGTGCCCGAGGGGGTGCATTTCTGCAAACACGGTTCCCCCAGCAAAAGGAGCCTACCCTTCTCGGTTGCCATGCCCCCACAGCGACTGCAGTTCCAACGCCGAACCATACCGTGCACCATTCCACAGACGTGGGAGTTGTGGATTTCTTTGGTTCTGGTACACACCAGGCTGGTAAGTTGGGGGGGGGGGCCAGGACAGGGGTTCCAGCGTCGCAGCGGTCTCTACTCAGGGGCCCCCCACTGCAGCGCGATCCTTCGAGCCATGCGACCAACGAGCCCCTGCCAGGGCCCAACCGACACACGCGGCAAGCCCAGCCCCCAGTGCCCAGACGGCCCAAGACGTGACCCGACGCCTTCTCGAGCTCGGCCACACGCCTAGAGGTCTCCCCTCCCCCCCGGGTGCAATTCTAGCAGGGCGGTCCTGCCTGCCAGCGGCTTTCGCCGCCCACCATGCTGTCAGTGCCGCTATCCGCTGGTGGACGCGGGTGGCCATCGCGTCACCTGCGCGCAGGGCGTGGACCTCCGAGCGGATCGCTCGCGAGGCCCTTTCCGCCCCCAGCTGCGCAGAATTGTCAGCCGCTTCGCTGCCTTCCGAAACTGTTGGGCACTGGCCCACTCGACTGGGAAGCAACACCTAAGTGGCTGTAACCCTTTTCGAAGCACAGCCGAACCCTCGCGGTTCCGCCAAGCTTCTGCCACGCGCTCCCACCAGCGTCGAAGACTTCCGCTTGGCTCTTGCAGCATACTCTGGTGCCAGCCATCAAAAACAATCTGGGCGTCTGTATGCGTCACCGCGTCCACTCTCGTGAAAAGAAGGCCCCGCCACAGCGCCGCCATGTTCGATGCAAGAACTGATTGCTTACCGTCGACTCCTCCACCACCCTGGGGTCGGGGAGGCGCCCGATGGGGGTCGAGCTCAGGGGGGAGGGGGAGGTGGTGGGTATCTCTGGCCCCTGCTGGATGTACACCCCCCTCCCTGCACGGCATTCGCGTCGGCCCGGCGAGGGCCCCGATCCGTCCAGAAACGCTACGCTGGCAGCGACGCGCGCGCGGCCAGAGGGTGGAGCTCCGCTGGGGCCGAGGGCAGGGCTCGGAGCGTCGACAGCTCTCGCGTTCCAGGCACGGTGGCCATCCCGGTCAGGCGGCGGCGGGACCGAATTCCAGTTGGCAGGGACAACGCCCCGCAACCGCAGGGCAGCGTTCATACCTTGATCGAGTTCCCTAGCGGCTCTTTCGCACAGTCCTTTGATCCTGGAGACCCATGGGTGTTCGCGCTGCGAGACGGAAGGGCATTCATACAATCGGTGCCTGATGTTGCCGTCCACACATAGATCGCATTCTTTACACAGTCCGTCGGTCTGGTACCCAGCCTGATGCAGACGGGCCCCAATCCAATGGGCGCAACAAGGTACGCTTTCAAGGGCCCCAGCCTCCTGAAACATCCGTTTCTTGTGAATGCGGGCGGTATTAATGCGAAGCGTCATGAGATCTCCACATCCAGCCAACCATACCCTCTCAGCGTGTTGTCCCGCTGGGGTTTATAGCGTTCGTGTGATAGTCTCGTCGAATAATTCGCACGACGCGGTCAGGTCCCCGTCGGAGTCGGGATCGAACTACCGCTCGCCCCCGTCAGGGGCCTCCCACACATCAGGTTCGATCTCAACACATCCGAGCTCGCGTGGCGCAACGATTAGGGCCCCCGTGGGCCCGGCACAGCTCTCCAGCGGGCCCTGCGTTCCAAACGAGCGATTTTGAATTTCGTGGCCGTCCATCCTCTACGGACCGCGTTCCTAAGGTCGGGACATCGGGTCCAAAACTGGATCCATTAGCGGACCTGCCTCTTGACGCGTTCGGCCCAGGAGCCCTGCCCATCAAACAAAAGCAACATCACTTAAGCCGTACATCGCCTTTTTTACGAAACCCCCCCATGTCCGCAGCCAGCCCTCGCCGCCGACGGACTCCGGAGGGGGGCATGCCAAAGGGGGCTGTCGTAGGGAATTTTGGCTCGGACGTGGGCGCAAAACAAGAGAAGCCTACGCGTGCGACGGTCGCGTCCCAGGCTGCCGAAAACTCGAGCCCTGTTGGCCCACGCTCGCCCAAGGCGCTCGCGCTTCTGCCCCGTGGTTCTGGCCCGCCTTTGGCCCATGGTGTGGTTGGTCCCCAGGTCCTTCATATCTTCGATCAGACTGATGTTGATGCCTCTCTTTTCCAGCGCTGCGGATACCATGTGAGCATCTTGCTCTTCGACCGCCATGCTGTTGGACTTGTTGGAGATCTTCAGTCTGGCCTCCAGGCACCCCGGCACCAGGGCGTCCGTTGCTGCTGTAAGCGTTGGGCCCACAACGGCTGGAGGTCCTTCCACTCGAGCTGCGAAATCGTCCAGAAACTGTCGGATTCTTCCCATTGGTACTCCAGATTTCGTAATAAAGGGGGGGGGGTCTCATTTCGGGGGGGGTCTCTTCCAGGCTATCTTGGAGGGCCTGGGGGGTCTGGGGACAATGTTTTGGAGGGTTCTCCCACGGGGGAGGTCTGAAATGGCTTGTCTTGGAGGGTCCAGACACCCTCCCTTTTATTACGAAATCTGGAGTACCGCTCGATGTACCCCCACCCAGAACATGGTGGACTAGGGCGCGCGCCCCGTGGTTGGCCTTGCCACAGCCTGGGGCCATGCCATTGGTCGGAGTGATGGCGTTGCTGAAGTTCTAAATCATCCTTGACAAGTCGTGGACCCAAGTATGATGCAATGCACATGTAGAGCTCGACTGCCTGGCAGGGTTCCGAGGCCCTTTTGCTCAGGATGCCCAGATCCACGAGGTCATAGAATGTCTCAAGGTCCTGGAAACAACTGGCCTGACTGGCCTCCTGGAGGCGTGCTCGGCTCTCATCCAGAACGAGTGTAACCACCGCCGCTTTTAGTGCTGAGCTGTTGCGAACTGCTGCTGCTGCCAGTCTGTGAGCTTCTGTTTCGCCATCTTCCCCCACACTCGACTGGCATCGGTAGTGATCAGATTGGTCGTTCTTCCCCTGCGATCTGCTTCTCGCCCTTGGGTAAGGTAGCGCGCCAAATATGCATGAGTTGATGTGGCCACTGTAGCTGCCTCTCGCACATGTTGAGGATTGTGAGCAGCCTTTCTTTACAGCATGGGCAGAGTGCTCATAATTGATCAGGTGCCCATTGGTCTGCTCCCCTTCCTGACTTGGCTGGGAAGCTGTCCAGCGCCGCCTGAAGAGTCTCGATGGCGTGGCATGGCCTGTTCTCAAGTTCCTCCTGGGCGCGATGCATGAGCAAGTCGAACTGGTAGTGGGTCTCATCGATGCGGGCACTGTGCTTGGTCCATCGTGCCTCCTGCACCTTCCGTCCGAGCTCGATGCCCTTGGCGGGGTCCATCTCCCATGCCATAGTATTCGGATCCAAGCAACCCTCCGTAAGTTGTACCGCCTCCTCTTTGGCCAAGTACCTGTGTGCGTCCTGCATGCCTCCTATCGTGGCTTGCGTCGCCCAGTAACGTATCTGGCGTCTCGTGTCCTACCATGCGAGCTGTGCGTGTCGTTCTGCACGCTGGTATGCGCAAGCGATAACATCACCTTGAATATGGGACACGTCCTTCTCCTCGCTTACGTCCCTGGAGCGGTCGCGTGGCTGCGCTTGCCTCGGGGAGGGGGGGCCTCGGGGCGCTTGCAGAGCCGCTCCCCCCCCCCTGGCATTCACGCCGCCCCTCGCGGTTGTCTGGCCCCGCCCGCGCTGCCCCTCCAGTAGCGGCACGCCCGGCGGGCCCACGGGCATCATGACCACCGCATGCGCCCCAAACGTCCAGGTCCTTGTCGAGCTCAGGCGCACGAGGCGACGTCGAGCTTGGTAGCCCCAATGGCACGCCAGGACTTTACGACCCTGACGCCCGTGGCGACTGAGCCTGGTAGCCGCTGCGGCACACCAGGGCTTCGCGAATTGACGCCGTGCTCGGCGTTGTCCAGCTCGGCCTTCTGGTCGATGAAGTCGAACGGGCCCCTGGCCCCCTTCGCATGTGGAGGCTCGCGGTGGCCCTCTCGCAGATGAACTTGTCGCTTCGGCAAAACTGGCGACGCTATCCTTCTGGTTAGCGCCAAGTCACAGCCATCGGTCCCCCCCCCCCAGTTCGGACCCCCACGGTCAAGCTTCGGGTCGGGCGAAAGGGGGGGATTGGGAAAGGGGGGGTTACGAAATTTGCTGCATGCAGCTGGTTTCGGCCCTACCGAGGGGCCCATTCCTCGATACATGGGCGCCCCCCGGCGCCGGGAGGCGCCGGGAAAATCAGCTACGTGAGCTGATTCTCAAACCCCCCCTTTGCTATCCCCCCCTTTCGCCCGACCCGAAAGCTCCCTGGGTGCTGAAAGCTCGGAGACCTTTGGCCCAGCGCCATGGCACGGGACGGAGGGGCCCCCGCTTCCAAGGCCACTGTATTCCACGTCGCTGACGATCTCATGGATTGGGTTGTCAAACCTCACGTCAGCGTTCGGGTAGCACTGGTAGCTGGGCGTTCGCATGACCCAGCGTAGGATGCCGTCATATCCAATAGTTGGAGGCGTCGTCGTGGAGCTGCCGTTGGTAGTCGTGGTTTGCTGCTGCTGTTCTGGTGGGAAGCCCAGGTGCGTCCCCATGAGCAGTAGAACTCGACCATCCTTGTGGAAGTCCCGCGGGTCGTATCTGCTGTCGAGCTTCTCCCTCATGTTGACGAGCTGGTTGTGATCGCGCTGATGACCGCCTGAATGGTGGTGGTGTTGGAGTGGCACCTTTGGAGTATTGCTAGTCCTCGTAGTTGCACTGCCATGGCCTCCCAGCAGTTGGCGTCCTTGCGCTTGGCGGCATTCTCGAACGGCTCGGGCCCTCGTTGATGTACTGTTTTCATTTTCTCGGAATGCGGTACTCTCCCTCGGTGCTGCGCGGGTTGCTGGTCGGCGCCCTGGAGTAGGCCCAGTGATGGCGCCGCCGCCCTGGTCCATTGTCTGAAGGGTTGGCCCAGCATTTCGGCGCTCTCGGGATCGCGTCGGTAGCACCATGCCGCCTGTACCTCGTTGGTGGCCGGTTCCACTGGCTCGTTGTGGTGGTGGTGTAGCGCTTGGTACCGCATGTCGTCCGTCGCTGTCGTCTTGATCTCGTTCTCGTGCTCAGAGTCCAAGAGGTGGAGGTGAGTGTCGACGTCGCTGCTGGCTATGGGATCGAGGCCGTCTCCATCGTCATCCTGGTGGAGGTTGGCGTAGCGCTCTCTGTCTTGCTGCGCCCTTTTGCGTCCTCTCTGGATGCGGATCTTGCGTGTAGGGACTTCGATCTTAAGTAAGGGGCAAACGCGGCACTTGGATGCTGATTGTTGCAGGCCTGGCGGTCAGCGCCAGGTCGAGCCCCAGGCGCGGACTCCACGGGACGTCCCTTGCTGCTTTGAAGTGCCTCACCAGCGGTAGGAATTGCTTCGGGCACGCGTCGTAGTCAATGAGCCTTCCTTTCCTTGACGTGCGTGTGATGTCGCAGTCCGCGTGGATGAGCAGCTCGCCGCCCGTCGCCTTCAGCCACTTGGTTTCGACATTGTTCGGGCGTTTTGTTCCAGTCACCGAGTGCTACCCAGGTCACTGCCCAAGACTTAATCACACGCGTCGACTGGAGCATCTTGCTGGTTTGAGGGAGTTTCTGTGGAACTACCGTCATCCTCACCCCCGGCGCGGGGAGCACAGGGGCCCAGAGCGGCCTCCGGCACCGTTTCCGGACAGATCCGGTGGATCCGGTGGATCCGCCGACGAATCCCAAACCGGCGCCCTCGCTTGAGACATCCTCACAAAACCGGCCCCGGGGGAGGTGCCCAGAGGAGCCCAGAGCGGCCTCCGGCACCGTTTCCGGACAGATCCGGTGGATCCGGTGACGAATCCCAAACCGGCGCCCTCGCTTGAGACATCCTCACAAAACCGGCCCCGGGGGAGGTGCCCAGAGGAGCCCAGAGCGGCCTCCGGCACCGTTTCCGGACAGATCCGGTGGATCCGGTCCGACGAATCCCAAACCGGCGCCCTCGCTTGAGACATCCTCACAAAACCGGCCCCGGGGGAGGTGCCCAGAGGAGCCCAGAGCGGCCTCCGGCACCGTTTCCGGACAGATCCGGTGGATCCGGTGACCGACGAATCCCAAACCGGCGCCCTCGCTTGAGACATCCTCACAAAACCGGCCCCGGGGGAGGTGCCCAGAGGAGCCCAGAGCGGCCTCCGGCACCGTTTCCGGACAGATCCGGTGGATCCGGTGGACGAATCCCAAACCGGCGCCCTCGCTTGAGACATCCTCACAAAACCGGCCCCGGGGGAGGTGCCCAGAGGAGCCCAGAGCGGCCTCCGGCACCGTTTCCGGACAGATCCGGGATCCGGTGGATCCGACGAATCCGGCGCCCTCGCTTGAGACTCCGGTGCCTCCGCACCGTTTCCGGACAGATCCGGTGGATCCGGTGACGAATCCCAAACCGGCGCCCTCGCTTGAGACATCCTCACAAAACCGGCCCCGGGGGAGGTGCCCAGAGGAGCCCAGAGCGGCCTCCGGCACCGTTTCCGGACAGATCCGGTGGATCCGGTGACGAATCCCAAACCGGCGCCCTCGCTTGAGACATCCTCACAAAACCGGCCCCGGGGGAGGTGCCCAGAGGAGCCCAGAGCGGCCTCCGGCACCGTTTCCGGACAGATCCGGTGGATCCGGTGGATCCGCCGACGAATCCCAAACCGGCGCCCTCGCTTGAGACATCCTCACAAAACCGGCCCCGGGGGAGGTGCCCAGAGGAGCCCAGAGCGGCCTCCGGCACCGTTTCCGGACAGATCCGGTGGATCCGCCGACGAATCCCAAACCGGCGCCCTCGCTTGAGACATCCTCACAAAACCGGCCCCGGGGGAGGTGCCCAGAGGAGCCCAGAGCGGCCTCCGGCACCGTTTCCGGACAGATCCGGTGGATCCGCCGACGAATCCCAAACCGGCGCCCTCGCTTGAGACATCCTCACAAAACCGGCCCCGGGGGAGGTGCCCAGAGGAGCCCAGAGCGGCCTCCGGCACCGTTTCCGGACAGATCCGGACAGATCCGGTGGATCCGCGCCCCGGGGGAGGTGCCCAGAGGAGGAATGAGGAGGAGGAGGAGGAGGAGGAGGAGGAGGAGGAGGAGGAGGAAGGAGGAGAAGATGATGGAGCTGTGGGGTGGAGGAGGACAGACGGAGGCAAGAGAAGGATGGAGGAGGAGGAGGAGGAGGAGGAGGAGGAGGAGGAGGAGGAACCTCATCCTCGCCCTCGCCAACAGGCGCACGCACCTTCTTCTATATACAGAAACTCCCGATCAACCGCAGAGCGGCCGGCTAGTATCCTCATCCTTGAACCCGCCCCCCGAATCGAAGTGGACACAGATGGGCGCGACCGTCGCCCCCTGGAGCCTCCACATCATGACGGAGAGGTCTTTTTTAAATTGTTCTGACGCGCGCTCCTCCCCGTGGCGCCAGGAAGGCGCGATGCTGTCTGTAGCCCTTCAGGAGGGGAAGAAAGACACAGACACCATTAATCGTCGATTCCCCAGAAAATATGCGAAAATATGGGCAGTGGGGGGGAAGACAGAAACCCAGAAAACATGGGAACATATAGGGAATCCTTTCTTTTTATGTGTGTATATATATATATATATATGTGTGTGTGTGTGTCCTTGGGCCCCTTCATGTCTGTAGTCCTGCTCGCGCAAGCCAGCAGGTGCCCCCGCGAGTGCCTGTTGCACTCCTCCCCGTTGGGGCAGCTGGAGTCAACACGTGCGCTGCGAAGGCCGCCCCTGGCCTCCGACAAAACAACATAACAACTAGAACAACAAATTATCCCAGTGCGACCCTACCTAGGAGTTGGAGCCTCTAGGAAAGCAGCAAGCAGCAGCAGCAGAAGCAGGCAGCAAGTCGCCGAGACAGCAGCAAAAGTAAGCAGGCACGGAGATGAGGGCGGGGCACTGGGGATTTCTTCACATCTACATATATATATATACGCACACCTACATCTACATCGACACCTACATCTACATATGGACCTACATATACATCTACACCTACAGCTACATCTACACCTGCATCTACATATACATCTACATCTACGTCAACAGCGAGACTCACATCTACACCTATATCTACACCTACATCTACATCTACATCTACATCTACATCTACATCTACATCTACATCTACATCTACATCTACATCTACATCTACATCTACATCTACATCTACATCTACATCTACATCTACATCTACATCTACATCTACATCTACACCTACACCTACACCTACACCTACACCTACACCTACGCCTACGCCTACGCCTACATCTACATCTACATCTACATCTACATCTACATCTACATCTACATCTACATCTACATCTACATCTAAATCTACATCTACATCTACATCTACATCTACATCTACATGCTTTGCTGCGCTATGCTATGCTATGCTATGCTCTGCTATGCTGCGCAATGCTATGTTGGGCTAGGCTAGGCTAGGCTATGCTATGCTATGCTATTCTTCGCTATGCTATCCTGCGTCATGTTATGCTATGCTATACTGTGCTATGCTATGCTGTGCTTTTGCTTTGCCTTCGCTGTTGCCTTCACTTTTGCCTTTGCTTTTGCTTTTGCTTGGCACCCAGGGAGCGCAACTGGGGGAACCGCGCGTTTGCTTTTACCTTTGCTGTTGCTTTTGCTTGGGTCGCAGGGGACCGGGGGAACCGCCCGGGGCGATTAGCACTGCCAGGCCCCTTTATGCTAAGAAAGTAAGAACCCCTCTAGGCAGAGCCTAGGTAGGGAATAAACAAAAATTGTATGGCCCCATGCTTGGCGGCCCCTGCGAGCAAGGGTGCTCGGCGATGCCGGCGACATCCACTGGCGCGCTGCGAGTCGTTTCTCATTTTCTCCCCGGAGTGCGTGGCATTCGCAAGCAACACGTGTGGCGTGCGGTCCACAGACGCGGCTGCTCTCTTGGGGCTGGAGGCGCTTTTGCCGTTGCCCACTGGGCTTTGCGGCTGCAGCACCTCCTCCCCCACTGGCAGTCGCTGCCGTCGACGCCCGCGCCTTGGCTTTGACCTTGGACTGGGCTGTGGCCTCGACGTACTTGTTGACTGCCTCGGGGTCCGTGAAGTCTGTGTTGCCAGCGCTGACGGAGGCCTCCTCTGTTGGTGCCGCTGCTGGTTGTTCCCCTGCTGATCGGGCTGTCCCATTGGTGCCTTTCTTCCTCTTGCTGTTGACTGCAGTGTGGAGCTTGCGGAATCGCTCAGCGGAAAGTGTGGCATGTTGTCCAGCAGCTGCCTCTTGCTGGGTGTGGCTGCTGCGACTGCTGCCGCCTTCCTGGCCTCTTCATATTCACGCTTGCCTTCGGTTCCCAGCGATCCCAGGTCCTCTTTGCCCAGCTCTGGGAAGTCCGTGTCGTCGTGGGTGTCCTTTTGCTTCTCCTGCCTGGCTGCTGCGGCTGCTCCCACAGTGGTCTTGCCCACCGACTGGTCGACCTCGGCCTGGGCTGCCAGGCGCTCCTCCACGTTGGCACTGGGACGGGCAAGAAGATCTTTCTGGGACCGAGATGCTGCCCCCAGCTGTGCTTTGATGCGGCCCTGCTGCGTCTGGAGCTGTCGGAGTTTTTTGCGCTGTGATGGCGAGCTGCTCTTCGGCCGTCTCGACTGGCGGCGGCTTCCACAGCTCCACCAGCTCCTGGCAGATTGCCAGCCACGCCTGCTGCTCGGCCTGGTCATCGGACTCCTGGACCTTGGCAGACTGCGGCAGCAGGGCTGAGGCCACGTGGGAAGCACCTCCTGCCCCTGGCTGTGGTCCAGCCCTGAGGACGGAGCGTGATGTGCCTGCTCCACCGTTGCCTGCCACCACGTCTGCGAACGTGACAGTGCGTTCGCCTGGCCGAAATCCCCTGGGAAACCGGTGGCGCACGGTACGCGTGCGTGTGTGTGTGTGTGTGTGTGTGTGTGTGTGCGGCGGGCCTCTCCCCTGAAAGGACTCGACACACAAAAGGCTTGGGGGGGGAGGAGGAGGAGGAGGAGGAGGAGGAGGAGGAGGAGGAGGAGGAGGAGGAGGCGGAGGAGGAAAAGGACGATCAAAAGGGCCAGAAGCCTATTGAAATGCCTCTCTTAGCCTCCTCGGGTATCTCTTGGAATCTCCTTGGGGGCCTCTTGGGCGTCTCGGAGGGCATCTTTTTGGCGGGCCCGTCTTTGAGCGTCTTGGGTGCCGGTGGGATCCTCTCGAGGCCTCTTGGGGATCTCTTGGCAGCCTCTTGGAGGCCCCCTGGGCGCCTCTTGGGGCCCTCTTGGGACGCTCTTGGGAGCTCTAGTGGCGCTGCTGGAGCCATCTTGGATGGCATCGATCAAAGACGGGGAAGGTCACAATTTGCACTGCCCCTCGAGGGTGCCTAAGATCGCCCCGTGGGCCCCTCTTGGGGCGCTCTTGGAGCGCTCTTGGGCGCTCTTGGGGCCCTCTTGGGCTATCTTGGAGGCACGTTGAGGCCTCGGATGGTCGTCGGAAGCGACAAGGCGAGAAAGCACCACGCATTGAGTTTCCTCGGAATTTGGGCCGGAGTTTGGCCTCTTGGCGGCCTCCTGGGAAAGCTCCGCGGCCACCTGGAGCCGTCTTGGAGCGTTTTGGGGGCTTCTTGGAGCATATTGGGAGCCATCTTGAGGCATTTTGGGTTACCTTGAGCCATCTTAGAGGTCATCTTGGGCTCTCCGAGGCGCCCTTGGAGCCGTCTTGGGCCATCTTGGACGCTCCAGCCCCTCGCGGAACCCGGCCAGGTCCAGGGGATGGGGTCCATGGGGGAGGGGCAAACCTCTCCCCGAAAGGGAAGACGGGGGATGGAAGACAAAGCTCCCTGGACCACCTGCAGTCAACCCGCATAGTTTCGGTGGGCAACTTTCCCAAGGGTACCCTTGCATCCTTCCCCTTTCGGCGCATCCTTCCCCTTTTCATACGAAGCACGTTAACTTGGTCCTCCGAGGCCCCTGCATCCTTAGCGCGCATCCTTACTAGCCGGCCGCTCTGCGGTTGATCGGGAGTTTCTGTATATAGAAGAAGGTGCGTGCGCCTGTTGGCGAGGGCGAGGATGAGGTTCCTCCTCCTCCTCCTCCTCCTCCTCCTCCTCCTCCTCCTCCTCCTCCTCCTCATTCCTCCTCTGGGCACCTCCCCCGGGGCGCGGATCCACCGGATCTGTCCGGATCTGTCCGGAAACGGTGCCGGAGGCCGCTCTGGGCTCCTCTGGGCACCTCCCCCGGGGCCGGTTTTGTGAGGATGTCTCAAGCGAGGGCGCCGGTTTGGGATTCGTCGGCGGATCCACCGGATCGGATCTGTCCGGAAACGGTGCCGGAGGCCGCTGGGCTCCTCTGGGCACCTCCCCCGGGGCCGGTTTTGTGAGGATGTCTCAAGCGAGGGCGCCGGTTTGGGACGGCGGATCTCTGTCCCGGTGCGGAGGCCGCTCTGGGCTCCTCTGGGCACCTCCCCCGGGGCCGGTTTTGTGAGGATGTCTCAAGCGAGGGCGCCGGTTTGGGATTCGTCACCGGATCCACCGGATCCACCGGATCTGTCCGGAAACGGTGCCGGAGGCCGCTCTGGGCTCCTCTGGGCACCTCCCCCGGGGCCGGTTTTGTGAGGATGTCTCAAGCGAGGGCGCCGGTTTGGGATTCGTCGGCGGATCCACCGGATCCACCAGGATCTGTCCGGAAACGGTGCCAGGAGGCCGCTCTGGGCTCCTCTGGTAGCACCTCCCCCGGGGCCGGTCCCGGAAACGGTGCCGGAGGCCGCTCTGGGCTCCTCTGGGCATCCTCCCCCGGGGCCGGTTTTGTGAGGATGTCTCAAGCGAGGGCGCCGGTTTGGGATTCGTCACCGGATCCAGCGGATCCAGCGGATCCACCGGATCTGTCCGGAAACGGTGCCGGAGGCCGCTCTGGGCTCCTCTGGGCACCTCCCCCGGGGCCGGTTTTGTGAGGATGTCTCAAGCGAGGGCGCCGGTTTGGGATTCGTCGGCGGATCCACCGCATCCACCGGATCCACCGGATCTGTCCGGAAACGGTGCCGGAGGCCGCTCTGGGCTCCTCTGGGCGCTTCCCCCGGGGCCGGTTTTGTGAGGATGTCTCAAGCGAGGGCGCCGGTCGGAAACGGTGCCGGAGGCCGCTCTGGGCTCCTCTGGGCACCTCCCCCGGGGCCGGTTTTGTGAGGATGTCTCAAGCGAGGGCGCCGGTTTGGGATTCGTCGGCGGATCCACCGGATCCGATGTCCGGAAACGGTGCCGGAGGCCGCTCTGGGCTCCTCTGGCACCTCCCCCGGGGCCGGTTTTGTGAGGATGTCTCAAGCGAGGGCGCCGGTTTGGGATTCGTCGGCGGATCCACCGATCCACCGATCCACAGGATCTGTCCGGAAACGGTGCCGGAGGCCGCTCTGGGCTCCTCTGGGCACCTCCCCCGGGGCCGGTTTGTGAGGATGTCTCAAGCGAGGGCGCCGGTTTGGGATTCGTCGGCGGATCCACCGGATCCAGCGGATCTGTCCGGAAACGGTGCCGGAGGCCGCTCTGGGCTCCTCTGGGCACCTCCCCCGGGGCCGGTTTTGTGAGGATGTCTCAAGCGAGGGCGCCGGTTTGGGATTCGTCGGCGGATCCACCGGACCAGCGGATCTGTCCGGAAACGGTGCCGGAGGCCGCTCTGGGCTCCTCTGGGCACCTCCCCCGGGGCCGGTTTTGTGAGGATGTCTCAAGCGAGGGCGCCGGTTTGGGATTCGTCGGCGGATCCACCGGATCCACCGGATCTGTCCGGAAACGGTGCCGGAGGCCGCTCTGGGCTCCTCTGGGCAACTCCCCCGGGGCCGGTTTTGTGAGGATGTCTCAAGCGAGGGCGCCGGTTTGGGATTCGTCGGCGGATCCACCGGACCCAGCGGATCTGTCCGGAAACGGTGCCGGAGGCCGCTCTGGGCCCCTGTGCTCCCCGCGCCGGGGGTGAGGATGACGGTAGTTCCACAGAAACTCCCTCAAATGATACGGGTTGACTGCACGTCCAGAGAGCTGGTGGGATCCATCGATGAAGAGGCACAGCGCTGGCGCTCGCACGCGACTTCGAGGTTATCACCGCCCCGGGCGAGAGAGCGCCAGGTGCAGAAGTTGGCGCCCTTCCGTCGGTGGCCCGCCCCGCGAGGGCGGCACCAAGTGGCACCAAAGTTCGAGCAGGGATCTGTCCCATAATTATATGTGCTCGTCGAATATGCAAGATGTATGTGGTTCGGAGATTCGACAGCCGTTCTACGGATTCGTCTCTGACTTCGACAGCCAGCATCAGTTTTGGGGGCAAATCAGTGTCGTGGGCGATCCCCTGCTCGAAGAGTGCCCTGTCGCGCGCTTCCTGTCTGGGCCACATGCGCGACGAAGGAAGTCAGGAGGGAAATACGTAAACACACAGACACAATGAATCGTCGATCCCCCGAAAAATATGAGAAAATGTGGGAAGTGGGAAGGAACACCGAAAGTCCAGGAAAAATATGCAGAAGTATGGGGGGCCCTTGGATTTGTGTGCATTTGTTTGCGGTTCCCTGGGCCTTTTCAGGAAGACGTGCTCTTCTTCGCCGACACTGGCGAGTAAGCTGCCCGCGTAAAGTCTCACATAAGCGCGTTCGTTCCCGACGTGCCTTCCACCACTTTCCATCTTCCGACCTCCGCGGAAGGTGTGGAAGAGTTCGGCGAAATTCACGGACTTGTTAACGCAATTCAAGGAAAACCCACACAAAAGAAGTGGTGGAAGGTTAGGACCGGATGTTCGGAATAATGAGGGGGAGGGTAAGGTCTCACGTAAGTAAGCGCGTTCGTTTCCGACGTCGTGTGCGGCGCTGGTGGTCCGCGGACGCCGCGGCGTAAGGTCGCTAAGGCATCTGTCGTGAGTCCCGTTTCCTTTCGTCGCTCACGTGTGATCTTTGTGTTCTGTTCAATGGAGCCTTGGGCGGCAACATTGGAATCAGGTTCTCCTGCATAAGGACAGCGCTTGGACCGCGCTTGGCCCTTCCTCCTGCTCGTCCTCGCCCTTCCTGTTCCTCCACCTTGTTCTTTTCGTCTTTCTTGAGAACGGGCAAATCCGGTCCAAGTCTGGTCCGAATGTGTTCCAAGTCAGGCCCACATCGAACAGCGCCAGGGGCCTCTTTGCCTCCCATGGGACAGACACCAAAGTGTTTCCATAAGATGGTCATTGAAGAGTAAGATTAAGTCGGGCCTGTCCCTCTACAGGAGGAATATTCAGAAATTGGCAAAAAATAGTATGGGGAGAATTTGATGAACATTTGTTGGTCATTGTTATGTTATATATACACATACATATCACAAACAAAAAAACGTCCCGAATCTGCCTGTAGGGGGACATGCCCGACCTGAGAGTATGACTCGAGCTCCCCAGATCCCGGATCCGCCCAAGCTTCTTGAGGGGCCTTTCCCGGAGTCTGATGGCCCAGCTTTTGTGGATGCTTTCAGGTGGGAGTTCGCGCTCGTTTTCTGGCGCGGCCTCGTCGTTTTCCTGACAGCCCCGCCAGGCCGACCCGAGTTCCCCGAACCCCTACCTTCACCTCCATCTTCCATACCTCCCTACCTCCGCGGAAGGTGCGGAAGAACTGGTCGAAATTCATGGGAACGTTACGCAATTATAGGGAAACGCACGTGTACCATATCGAAAAAGGGGCTGAAGGTTAGCACGGAAGGTCTGGAAGAATGAGGGGGAGGGTAGTTCACCCTGGGGTGCGCGAAGAGAATCGCGCTTCGGGCATCGTGGCTTGGACTAGGAGCTCCATGGGGTTTGGGGCGGCGCAGGGGCGCGAGGGCTCTAAGAAAGGTTTGCGCATCGTAGGGCGCTATGCGCTCAGTTCCCAGACCCCCGATGTCGTGTTTTTCATGACGTGGACTCCTAGAGGTCTCGTCCCTCTCCCCGAGACCGGTGCTTCCTGAGTCGTTTTTTGAAGGACCAAGGCCCCGACGAGCCCCCCCCGAGGTCGAACATAGCGAAAACCCAAACCTGCAGTCGCATGTCTCTATGACTCGATGGAGTCCAGATTGGAGCCCGAGGCTTACGTCTCCCAGGTACGGCGGGCCGGCGCCCCCCCCCGTTCAGAGGCAGCGATAGGGGGTCGTAGGCATGGGAAGGGGGGCCGAATCGCCTATTGATCGCCGATAGTGGCTCAATATGTCCAGTCCGCCCAGGACCGTGCGGACTCGTTATCGAGGGCCTATCGCCGACCTATCGGCGATACATCGCCGATTCCAGGTCGATATGCCCCCCCTCACCACCCACCAAACCACCCCAACCCAACCCGAAAACCTCAATTTACCCTCCATCTCCAGCGGGGGGGGGGCGTCGGGGAACATTGACGAAACGCAGATGGAACCCTTACCCCCCCCCACCCGAAATTCGGGTCTTCGGGTTGGGTTGGGGTGGTCTGGTAAGTAGTCAGATTCCTTGAATCTGCTAGTGATTCCTCGGTTTTGGTTTTGGGGCCCGTTATCGGGCGCCGTCGAACAGTCAAGAATGGATCCTGGCGAGACTCTACCCCAGGGAAGGGGTCAGGGGTTGGGTTTTTGTGGCCGCGCTTTCAACACATCGAACCGGGCTAGGACGAGGATAAATCCGTTCCAGAGCGTTCGGGAACGCTCTCAGTGCGTTCCGGAATTCTCTGAGAAGGCCGCGGCGCCCGAGACATCTTCCAGAGCCGCCAGATATCAGATTTTCCCGATTTATCCTCGCTATCCTCGTCGGGATTTCTGGGGCAGCGCTTGGAAAAAGCAAACACTCCTCGGACTCCTGAGTGAAGCTCAGTTCAGGCAGTGGCGAAGCGTCCTGGCTCGCCTATAGCCCCACCAAAGAATGTTCTAAGAACATTTGTGTTGTCTGCACGCAATGTTCTTAGAACATGTCTGGCCTGGACTGTCTTGTTTTAACACGTCGGGTCTTTGTTCTAAGAACGTTGCTTTTGTTATGACTTAGAACATGTTTGGGTTCTAAGAACATTTCGTGGTAGGACTATAGGAACGCTGGGACGGTCGGTCCCTGCTCAATCAGTGGGCGCCCGCAGGGGTAGTGGGATGTGGGCACCGGGGGGGCCAGGGAGCGGCTTGTACAGTGAACAGCGGAGGGGGTGGTGGGACGGGGGTGTGGGCTGACGAGAACGGAAGAGAAGGGGCTGGACGAGGGGGCGGAGAGCGCGGGGTGGGCTGGCGAGAACGGAAGAGGAGAAGATGGATGAGGGAACGGAAGAGGAGGGGATGGAGGAGGGGACGGAGAGCGAGGGGAGGGGGGCGCCCCGGTGGGGGAGGAGGGAGGGAGAGGCAGCGGGGCGACGAGTGGAGTGTTGGGGGGGGCGGCAGGAGGAGGGAGGGGGACGAGGCAAGGGGAGAAGGAGGACGAGGGGGAGGAGGATGAGGAGGAGGGATGGCGCGTAGGGACTCGTGGAGGATGGTGCGTAGGGATGGTGCGTAGGGGGAGAAGGACGAGGAGGAGGGATGAGGGGGATGAGGATGAGGAGTCGACCGGGACTCGTGAGTCTTTGGCGAGACAGCGGTGGCACTCCTTGGCGTGTTTGCGTCCTTTTCGGGCCTCTTGGAGGCGTCTCGGCGCCACGGCTGGATCCGCTTCGAAAGGCAGGTTATGATTGACGGACCCTTGCGGGGATTCGGTTGCGAGAGGGTGTGAGCCGCGCGGGAGAGCTGCCGTTGTTTCGGCTGGCCCTCATCCGAGAGGAGGGGGGAGCAGCGTTGCCCACCTTCGCGTCCCTGGACGGCGGGCTTCACGACAAGCGGGAGGGGGGGACGCACTCACGTTGACAATCACAGCCCCCTTGCTGCCAGCCCGCGCGGCTTCAGCCGAAGCTCTGCCGCAGGAGTGTATCTTTACCTCATGTACGTCAGCTCGTCCAGCCTGTCCTTCGTCGGGCTGGAGCAGTGGTTGGCCTTTGTATGTGCTATGCGATGGGTGCAGCTGGTGTACGCTCTCCGGGCGTTCGAGGATCGCATGGGTTTGGTTTATGTTCGCCAGAGCAAGAGAGGTCGTTTGTCCGTTCGCTCAATCAATGACGCTCGGGGTGCTTCGCCTTCCGGGTGCTTCGCTCTTGGACACAATGCGTTTATCTCTAGATGGCCCGCCAGATGTTGGCAACCATCTAAGTAGATATCGTCCCGCTGCGGGGCCGCGCAGACGAATCCACCATATTGACCCGAGTTCCTAGTTAAGGGGCCTTGACAGCGGCGGGTATATTCAGCCAAGGTGCTGAAGCAAGCGACATCACCACAGGGGGGGGCTACCTCCAGCGAGAAGGTCCGCGATGCCTCCCCGAGCTGGAGATAGGGGATGTCTCAAGAGAAAGGGGGGAACCAGACCACGAGGGGGACCCCACCTGGCTCCTCTCGCTGGTGGTCCCTGCTGGTGGTGTCGCTTTCCCTTGTTTCCAAACATGCGGTGTCCTGATGTTTTTCGGTAAGGGGTCCCCAGAAATCCCGACCCTTTCTCCGCTACCACCGGTTTTTCATATTGAATCTTTTTTTCATAGTCCCTGGGCCCGGTAAAGGCCCCCTAGAAGCCGAAAGCGGCGAACAACAATCCCGTCCTGTTTGTTTCTCGGCACGTCTGGGCTCCCATTATGCTATGATGCGGTGACTGTGCGCTTGTGCCTGGTGCAGATGCGCGCGCCTGCCTCGCCTGTCGCACATCGCTCCGAGAACCTGAAGCCTATTGGAGTGGGCGCCCGGTCCGCGCCGGAGAAACCGATTTTTTGTTCAAACAATGTGGGTGGGTCACGGGTTTGGTCGCAGGGATGGTGGGTCGCGGGTGGGTCGCGGACCGGCGGGTCGCGGGCCGGGTCGCGGGCCGGGTCGCGGGCCGGGTCGCGGGGGGGTCGCGGGTGGGTCGCGGGTGGGTCGCGGGTGGGTCGCGGGTTGGTTCGCGGGTGGGTCACGGGTGGGTCGCGGGGTGGGTCGCGGGTGGGTCGCGGGGTGGGTCGCGGGTGGGACGACGACAACAAACAACAACAACAACAACAACAACAACAACAACAACAACAACAACAACAACAACAACAACAACAACAACCAACAACCAACAACCAACAACCAACAACCAACAACCAACAACCAACAACCAACAACCAACAACCAACAACCAACAACCAACAACCACCACCAACAACAACAACATTAACAACACAAACAACAAAAACAACAATCATATTAATATTGTTCGCCCTTATATGCTCGAGTGTCCAATAACGCGTATTTCCCAAACCCTCGATACCCGCCCTCTTCGTCTTCGATCGAGCCCCTTTTGGGGGGTATACCTTTCTTCCCTGCAGGCCGGGCCCCGGCAAGCGGCGGGGCGGCCGCGGACCGTCGGCCTGGCCAGCGGCAGCGCTGATCGGCGGGGCGGCCGCGGACCGTCGACCCGACCCCAAGAGGGACGGACAGGGGACCGACCACGACGACGACGACGACGACGACGACGACGTCGAAGACGACGGCGACGACGACGACGACGGCGACGACGATCGAAAGCGAGAGCGAGAGAGAGAACGACAGCAAGGCCACGAAGGGCACCAAGTAGGCCACGAAGGGCGACAGCGGGGACACGAAGGGAATGCGTATGGGGCCACGAAGAGCGCGAACGAGTGGGGGCCACGAAGTGCAGATAATGTGGCCCCTCACCAGGTGAGCCGCGAGAGGGGCCCCCTGCAACGTTTCCCGGAGTGGTCCAGGTGGTCCATGCAGCGGGCACAGACGAAGGATGGCAGGACAAGAATTCAGCAGTGGGGGCACGGGGGTAAATAGCTGGAAGTGGCAGGGGACACGGAGGAGAAGAACGACAAGGAGGAGCGCGAGGGGAGGGGCAGGGAAGGAAGGCGAGGGCGGATAGGAACAGGGGAGGGAAGGCAGGGGGGAGTAGAGGAAACCGGCAGGGACGGGGGAGGGAAAATACACGAGAGGGCAGGGAAGGAGGGCATGTGAGGGAAAAGAGGGGGACGAGGGGGACGGGAGGAATTGCGCAGGTTTCAGCCCGCGGGGCCCTCCCGAGCAGGGCTGAGGCACTCCGCGGCACGTCCGCGCAGGCCTGTCCCTCCCCAGAGGCCCCGCTTGCGGCCGCTCACAGCGCCGATTCGGGTTCGCGTCCCCGCCCCGCCCCGGGCGTGCGTTAGCAAACCCACAGGCCGGCAAGGGGGAGAAAGCAGGAACGAGGCGCAGGAGGGGAAAAGAGGAGGGGACGAGGGGCAAGGAGGATTACGTAGGCAGGAATGCCGAAAAGGGCGAAAAACAAGATACGGAGGGAAAGGGTAGGGAAGAATGAGTGATGATGATGCTCATGATGATGCTGCTGATGATGATGATGATGATGATGATGATGATGATGATGAGGATGATGATGCTGATGCTGATGCTGATGCTGATGCTGATGATGATGATGATGATGATGATGATGATGATGATGATGATGATGATGATGATGATGATGATGGTGATGGTGATGGTGATGCTGCTGACGATGATGGTGGTGGTGGTGTTGGTGATGACGATGATGATGATGGTGTTACTGATAATGATGATAATGATGATAATGATGATAATGATGATGATGATGATGATGATGATGATGATGATGATGATGATGATGATGATGATGATGATGATGATGATGATGATGATGATGGTTGTGCCCCCTATGCGCGGGCGCGGCTTCTGCTCGGCCAAGACGTATGCCCACCGCGAAGCGCGCGGGCCGCGCAGACGACATCGAATTCGCGCGGCCAGCACGACGGAACACGGCGGGGCTGTCGAGAACAGCCACCGCCGCGAAGCAAAATAAAAAGGCAACATACGACAGCTCGCCGCGCACTGCCGCCTGCTGCTCTCAAGGCCACGCGCGTTCCCCGCGCCAGTCGTGAATCGGGGCGTCGGCCACAAACGGGCGGCAGCGCGTCTCGCCAGCTCGTCTCGTGCGACTGAACGTCGCAGCAGTTGGATCGTGACACCATGTTAACACAAACCTACCCATACCAACCCAACCCGCAGCATACCGAGGCAGTGCACTCATGATTACGCATCCATATCTAATAGTAATAATGCTGCGGACGTTTATCGCACTTGCGTTGGGCCAATCATGCCTGTTTTGACCCTCGATGGGGGTGCAACTTTGTGGGTCGCCGCATGAGCTCGATCTGATACTGAAGTCCCGTTAGAGGCGGCGGCGCCGCCGTTGTTTCAATCCATTTGCGGGGCGCGCGCATGCGCAGAAAACCCTCATCCCCGTCATGCAGTTCCTCCCCCTCCCTCTCCTCGTCCAGCGGCTCCCCCTCCTCCAAGTGCTGCTCCCCCGCCCCCCTCCTCGTCCGTCTCCAGCTCGCCACCCCCCTCCGTCTACGTCCTCCCCGTCATCCCCATCGCCCCCCCTTCCTAGCGCATTTGCCCCTTCCACATTCGCCCTCCCCCCCTCTTCGCCCCCGCGCATTTCGAGCGCCTCGCATCTCCAGCTCGTGCCGCCGATCCCTCGCCTAACATTCGATCCGATCTCGACGACGACTTCGGTTCCTCCCCCGTTTCTTTCTTGTGTTTCATCTTCTTTCTCTTCTTGCCCCTCTTGTTCTGCTTCCCTCTAATTCCGCGATCGTCGCGCCCCTCGCCTTCACCACCGCCTCCGGCTCCGAAGTCCCCGTGTCCTTCGCCTCTCCCCCCATGTATTGGGCCGCCTCATCCTCCGCACGATGGTTCAGTTATGCGAGCGTTGCCATTTCCCGCTGCTGCTCATCCTCCGCCTGCGATCGGATCGCACCCCTCCCCGCCATCCTCGTCATTCGTCCTCGTCTTCGTCTGCATGCCGCCATCCTTCATCCCCTCTCCCATCCACCGCGCGCAGAGCTAGCAATACCCTGTCGACCGCCGTCAGCTCCAGATCAGCATCCAGGTCCACCGTCGACGCCAGTCCAGGGCTCCCGCCGGGGGAGGGGGGTCCGACGACGAGGGCGCTCGCGAGGCTTGAGGATATGGTTTGGGCGAATGGGTTTGGGAGACCGGGGGGTGATTCGGTGGGTGAGCATGCCCTGCAGCACGGGCAGCTTTCGAAAGAGGTTTGCCAGGCCGCCACGATGCGATTCGGTGCGGCTCGATTCAGCCCGCTTCTTCTGGCATCGGCTGGTGCAGGCCAGGGCAGAGCGCAGCGGCCCGATGCCGATTCGATTCGGGAAGACGTATCCGCGACCCGATCCGTCTCCGACCCGATCCGGCGCTGCGGCCCGATCCATCTCGGACTTGCCCCTGCCTTGGGGCACGTCCTCTCTGCACTGCCCCGACAAACGGCAGACCGCCCCCAGTGCTTCGGCCACCTCCTGCTGCCGATCACCCAGGCGCCCCGCCCCTCCTCAGAGGAGGGAAAAGGGAGGGTGCCTGTACCGCTTCCCTTGCCTTGCGTGCGCCTTTCTGGGGCCTCCTGGGAGGCCGTCGCCGTCACCGCTGGACACGCCTCGAAGATCTGGTCAGAGCGCTCCACACGAGAGGCCAGAGTCGACGCCGCCATTGCGTGGTGCGCGGTCATGGCGCCCTCGTCACAATCCACAATCATTGTTGGGAGCGGCATCGTGGTGCGCGTGGCATCACTTTGGGCAGTCTCGTATTGCGTATGATCTTGGCATCCACGCAATAACTAGCGGCACCAAGTTTGCACAATTCGTGGGGGGACCCATCAGCCAAATACAGTCTGTGATGATTTTGTTCATGGCCCCCATGTCGTCGTGAAAGAAGCAGGTCCTCGGCACGGGGTCCAGACTGTCGCAGACGGTGTATTGAACAAATCTGGGGTCATATCTCTGGGACAGGGTCCTTTTGGGAGCTTTCGACGTGCGCGCGCGCACCCAAAATCGACGCTGCGTTGCGCCAAGGGCACACGAGCCGCACGGCCCGTTACGACTCCACTTCCCTCGTCGCTGAAGTCCTGTCCCAGGGGGGGGAGGGGGGGCGAAGTCTTCCAGGGTCGCCAGAGAATGGGATGAGAACTCGGGGGGGGACCGAACGAACGAACGAAGCAGCCATACGCCAAAAGCGCGTGGGCAAGGACAGGCAGAGCGACACGCCAAATGCGTGCAATAAAAAGTTACGTCAGGCAGCCTGCCAAAGTACAGAGACACGAAGTACAGTACAGAGTACAGAGACTCGGGGGGGGGGAGGGGGATGTCAATGCGTCCCTTGGCCCCCCCCTGCCTTCTCCGCGCACAGTACGTGCCTCGGGCCATGCTGCGCACCCCTCCTCTCTCGGACCTCCTCCGCGGCGCCCCCGACGGAAGGTCGCCCAGCGGGATCGCAGCTCGACATCGGGCCTGCTGCGATTGGCGCACGAGTGCCTCGCTCCGGGAATATGCGCACACCCATCTGGACGCCCGAAATGGGCACGGAAAGAATGGGTACAATGCCCAACAGCAGTTCCTGTTCATTTTGAGCAGGATTCGCTGTCCACGCCGCCGCGGCTTGTGTCCATTCGAGACAGAAGGCCGCCTGCCCAACAGCGGCCGTTGTCGGTTTGGGACAACATTTGTTGTTGGGCATTGTACTCATTCTTTCCGTACCCATTTCGGGCGTCCAAAGCCCAGAGCGCGCGCAGGACTCCTCACGTGAGGCGAAGCCTCAGCAAGGCGAGCGTTCCCCAGACCCCAGACCCCCGCTACGCCAGGTTCGCGTCGTGTCGACGCGGCGGCGACCCCGCCGCGGGCCTTCGAGGGTGACCGACTTACGCCAAAATCTGCCACCATGGGACAATCAAGTGTTCGCAATGCCACTGGTCGTTAGAGGTTGAATGACCCACGCGGTGTCAGAAGCCTCGTCACGACCCGAACCTGTCGTAGGGGGTCCGAAGGGGCGGCGAGAGGGCGGAAAAGAGGGGGCGGCGCCCAGCATGAGCGTGCTGCCTCCCCGTCCACCCCCTCGGGGGCAATGATAGGGGGGATGGGCATAGTGGTGGGATGCATCGACCCCCAATCGTCCATTCATCGACGGTAGGGCCCGATAGTCCCACCCAGGAACGTAGGGTACGGTAGTCCCACCCCGCCCAGGAACGTTGGGGGCCTAGCACCAATCTAACGGCGATGTATGGCCGATTCCAGGTTGATGTTTCCCCCCTTGTGCCAGTCCCCCCCCTCTTCGCCCCTCACCCCCATTGCCAGTCGCTGGCCCCCACGCTCGGGATCTTCTGCATCACCGTGTTCGTGTTCGTGGGGTTTATGCACGCCTTCATGGCATTCGACGTGCGCCTCGACGCGCACGGCGCCAGACTGACGGTCCTCGTTGGGCGGCCAAGATGGGCGAGGGCTGCGGAGGAGAGGATGCAGGTATCGGATGCGGATGGAGGAGCAATGGGGGAGGAGGAGGAGGAGGAGGAGGAGGAGGAGGAGGAGGGCGAGGATTTTCCCGTCGCCATCCTCCTCCGCCTCATCTTTATCCTCATCATCTTCCTCCGAGTGGGAGACTGAGGACAAGGGTGACGAGAATGACGAGGACGATGGGGAGGCGAAGGGGTGGGGAAGAGGACGAGGGGGAGGAGTCGAGGGATGACGCCGCCGACGAATATGTTGATGGTGACGACGGTTTGGATGGGGGGTGGGGGACGGTGATGAGGAGGAACAGGAGGAGGACGGAGCAGGACGGACGAAGGCAGATGAAGAGGAGGTGGAGGAGCGGATGGGGGAGGGGGGGAGAGAAGAGGAGAGGGACCGAGGGGAAGGGGAGATGGGAGGAGAGGCGAGGGGTCGAGAGGAGGGGGAGGGGGGGGGGAGAGGAGAGGACAGGAGAGTGGTCGAGGGGAGGGCAGGGCGGGCCAGAACTGGAAGTAGACGAGAGGGGCAGACTCAGGTCGGAGGGGGTCGGAGGGGAGGGGCGAACCCTTCCCCGAACGGGCGAGGAGGAGGAGGAGGAGGAGGAGGAGGAGGAGGAGGAGGATGAGGAGATGGAGGGCGACGCCGACGGAGGCATGCATGCCGACGAGGGCCAGGGCAAGGAGACTGACGGTGATGAGCAGGAGCAGGAGGTGGAAGCGGCACCGCGGAGCAGGGACGAGGGAGTCAGGAGTGGGAGCTAGCATGCGCGGGGCTGCAGCTCTGGGCCCCGCCTCCGCTCGGGAGCCTCCCCTCGTCGGGGGACTCTTGGGCGGAAGCGGGCCCCAGGCTGCCGAGTGATCGGAGGCCGAGTGGTTCGAGGGCCCCGCCCCCCCACCCACCCTCGGGAAGGCGCTGTTGAAAAACCCGTGCGCCGAGGCGGTTCCCGAGATTCCAGCTCCAGCCCACGGCGCGGCTGCGACCGCAGCGCTGGTGTTCAGGACTGAAGGCCACCGGTAGCCCAGAATCGCCCCTTGGTGCACGACCTGGCGAGCGGAAGGGGCCTCCGATCGTTCTCGAGGCTGATTGATGCACGCGGTGTCAGAAACCAGCGCCAGGGTCGTCATGACGCAAATGTGTTGTTTCCTATTTTTTGCGCGGGTTTCTGACATGAGCGTTGGACCTCTGCGCTTTCCAGACGCGCGGAGCGTGCCAGGGGCGGCGTTGAGCGTTGAGTGGTGCCGCCCAAGGGGGGGGGGGTCCAGCATTGACCCAAGATTTGTGGGGACCCCCTGAAATTAAATTAGGCTTATGTCGTGTTTGTTTTTGATATATGTGTGATCGGCCAGGAGGCAACGTGGGGGAAATGGACGTGGGATGCACGAATTTGCGTGGTCTGCGCATCTTGGACCAGGGACGGCTGTTGAGGGGCCGTGGAGGGTTCCATTGGGGGCAATATTTCTTGCACCGCTGTTGACCCCCCACGATTGCTGGCCCCCGTTGACTTCCGCCCGAGACGACGAGCATGCAGGCCTCGCAAATGAAGTCCGTGTAGATGGGGTCGGATGATCGCGTCGCATCGCCGTTGCATCGGCGATGCGGGTCGGTGCAGCTCTGCATGCACCGATGCGTCGTCGATGCGTCGGCGATGCGGCGTGATCATCCGACCCCATATACTTGGACCCCATCTGGGAGACCAGCTGTACCCCTCTTGCTGCCCCCTGTAAACTTCTGTGAGGAGGATGAGGACCAGTTGCATCACCGATGTTGCAATCCGCCGTCCCTTCAAACGCCGGATTCAAAGGTTCCGACAATAAGTTATTTACATTGCTGGAAATATCAGTTTGGACGAAGTTTGGGGATCCTCAATCATTCCACACACCCTGTTACTGCACCGCCGCGAGTCAACGTGACTGCTGCGTCCCCAGAACCCCAAATATCCCAGAACGCTGGTCCTGTGACTTCAACTCAGAGAATAAACGTAACTGTTACGTCCCGACAATCCTAAACCGCACCAAAGAACCAGTCCTGGGACTTCAATCGTGCGAACCCTTGACATTGCTTCAGGGTTTCACGGCGAATTTTCACGATCCTAAGGCGAGAGCCACATTTTGGAAAGGACATGCCGTCCATCCTTGAAATTGCTGCAAACTGTTGCGAGGACACTTCGCGGCGCTCAGACGAGAGCCGCATGCTCATAGCGAATGGCCCTTCATCAATGAGATTGTTACAAACGTTTAAGACGAGCTTGCGCGGCGCTGAGGCGAGAGCCGCATGTTGAAAACCACCCAGCTGTTGCAAAATGGTCAGACAAATGTGCGCGGCGATGAGGCGAGAACCACATGTTGGAAAACCACCCGCCATCCATGCATCAATATGTGGCACACTTTTACGGCGATCGTGCGCGACAATACGGCGAGTACAATTGTATTGAACGGGGCCGACTCTTATCCGTAACGTCGATGCAAATTGTCAAGGTGAGTGTACTTGGCCCTGCGTAAGGCGAGAGCCACATTTTGAAAATGGTCCGCCCTCCATCGGTGATCCTGTTGCGAATTTCAAGGTTCAGGTCCATAAGTGGTGCGGAAGTTTCAGGCGAATCGCCCGACACGTCAGTGGGTGCGACAGGGAGGAGCCACCTGTAAGGACAAGAAACGAATGAGACAGGGGGAGCAGGAGGAGGAGAGGGAGGAGGAAGAGGAGGAGGAGGAGGAGGGGGAGAAGGAGGAGGAGGAGGAAAGGTCAAAGAAGTGGGTCTTCTGGTCTTTTTCTTTCTGATGTTTTTCCGCCTCTTGTCTTCCGCTGCTCCCCCCGTCTGGTCTTTCTCCTCTTACTCTTTTCTTTTGCTTCCCTGCCCCTCGCTGCGGCTGTCGTGCCTCGGTGCCTCCGGAAAACAAGGGGCCGGAGGAGGAGATGGAGGGAGGATGAGGCAGGATGCGGGAGGGAGGAGGGCAGAGAGGAGGGCGAGGAGAGCATCGAGAGCGAGGAGAAGTTTGGTTTGAGCACTTCCGTCCCTCTCCCGTCCCCCTCGTTCCTTTTCCCTTCCGTTTTTTCCCCGTTTTCCTTGAGCGCGTGCGTTTTTTTTAGTTTTTCTTAGCCGCTTGAAGGTGTGCGTTTTTGATGTTTCGGTTTATTGTGGTGTTGTTATTGATGTTCTTGGTGGTGGTGGTGTTGGTGTTGTTGTTGCTGTTGTTGTTGCTGTTGTTGCTGCTGTTGTTGCTGTTCACGTTGATTTCTCATTTATACAGTATAATTGTTTTCGATCACCCTTCCCCGGTAACCGATTCTTTTGTCCAATTGAAGTGCTTCTCTCGGAGTTCTCACCCTGTTTGTTTTTACAAGGGACAGCTGAGCATCACTCAACTATGAGCGCAGAACTACAACAACAACGGCTCCCGATTAATACTTCACACTTGATTTCCAAATTGCGCTCTTGCGCGGAACTTCCTCACAATGCGTGCAGGAATCGCGCTCTAGCGTGGGACTTTATTCAGACGCCGCGCCCTCGACACTCAAGAATCATGCTCTCGCTGTGGACTTCTCACGATGTATCTGGGAATCGCGCTGTCGCTCGAGACTTCTTCGCGAATCATGCAGGACGCACGCTTCAACAACCCGCCTGCTCGACCTGGCCGCCTGGGCCCGCCTTCCGACCCGCCCTATAGGGTCTGCCCGCCCGATCTTCCCGTTTTGTCCTGCCACGTGTTTTCTGCTCCTAGCCCCCCTCCTGCTACTCTCCCTCTCGTGCTCCATGCTCCTCCCTTCCCCTTGTCCCGTCCTTTCCATCCGTCCTCCCTTCCCATGCACAATGGGCTGCACGAAATACACGCTGCAGGTCAGAAATAGATACCCCTAAGGCGGTGTACGGTCGAAGACAGAGAGGGCGGGCATCCAGGGTTTGGTATACAATTGCGTGTTGACTGGCCCGCGAGCCGATATGAGCGAACAGTCTTAAATTGAGTAAGGTTGTTGTTTGTGGTGTTGGTAGTGTTGTTGTAGTTGTTGATGTTGCGTGTCTTGATGTTGTTGTTGGTGTTGTTGTTGGTTATGGTGGTGTTGGCGGTGTTGTTGTTTGTGGTGATGGTGTTTGTGTTGGTGTTGAATGTGACTTACAAAACAATTATTATTGTTGGGCCCCTTACAGGCGCCCTGGCGCTCTCTTCGAGGCGCCGGCTGCATGTTCATGTAAAATGAGGCTCACTCTCAAGCGGTTTGGGGGCGCGCCCAAACCGGCCCCCAACAACAACAACAACAACAACAACAACAGCAACAACGACAACAACAACGCTCCCGTTCGAGACGTCTTCCTTTTGTATTCAGGGCCTGTGCTCTTGCTCGCCGCCGAAAACAGCCGTCTCAACAAAACCAGCGGTCCCGCTCGAGACCTCCTCCCGTATTACCTTGGACAGGCGCGCTATTCATTCTCTCATCGGCGCCGCCCCCCAGCAACAACAACGCTCCCGCTCGAGACCTCCTCCCTTGTTTACTCAAGGCGGTGCTCTTGCTCGCCGCCGACAGCCCCCGTCCCGACAAAAACCAGCGCTGCCGCCCGAGAGTTCCTCCCGTTTTACGCTGGACTGGCGCCCTTTTCTCTTCCTCCTCCTCATTGTCCTCGTCCTCCCTATCCTCCTCCCTAGCCTCCTCCTCCTCCTCCTCCTCCTCCTCCTCCTCCTCCCCCTCCTCCTCCACCTCCCTCCTCCCGCCTTCCTCCTCTTCCTCCCTCTTCTTCCTCCACCCCCTCCTCTTCTCCCTCCTCCCTCCTCCGTCCTTCTTTCCTCCCTCCACTTCCCTCCCCCGTTTTCCTCCTCCTCCTCCTCCCCCACCTCCTCCCCCTTGTTATCCTCCTCGTCCTCCCTCCTCCGTCCCCTCCTTCTCCTCCTTGTCCTCCTCCTCCTTTTCCTCCTCCTCCTTCCTCCCTCCTTCCCCCTCTCTCTTCCTCCTTCTTCCTCCCTCCACCCCCTCCTATT